TACAGTCTGATGGCCAGGGGGACATTTGTCGCGTAAACACCAACAATCTTTGTGTGAAAAACTGCTACTACTGGATAAGTAAAAGGGTAAATAGTAGGATATGTGTTTATCTAGCTAATATTATCAAAACCTGTAGCCTTTTTTGCATTTTGAAGATTGCATCAAGTGGTTACATCTGAGGTGGTGACGTTTGGCGAACGGGAGGTTTATTGTGAAAGTCTGACGACCGGATACAGTGCGGTCGCTTGTCGCTTGTCGCTGATTGTGACCTGCTGTGTCCTCCAACAGTCTGACAGCCGCTCGTTTGAGGACAACAGCTCCAAAATCATGGTTTTCGAGGAGAAGATGATCATGAACGGAGAGCCCGATGATGTTAGTAGCTTTTACACATTTAACACAACCCTGCTATGACGGAGACGTCCGCTTACAGTCGCTAGCAAGTTAACAAAACGCGGCTAACTAAGCTCAAATCCTCACCTAGCTCCACGTTAGCATTAGCCAACGTTATACGTCCATAAACATGTTGGAGCTAATTCACGGTGTAGCGTCAAAGGTACAGACTACTGCGTCGTTGGTAACGTTTGCAGGCTGATTGTGTTATTTATTTACGTTGCGACCGGTAACGACTGTCTGCAAGTGAATGATGTCATTGATTTGGTCGTGAATGTCTTGTTTCAGGAGGAAGAGGAGGAGGAGGAAGAGGAAGATATGGTGGTATGTGCATTGAAGACACACTTTTCAGAATTCAAAAATATGTTCACTGTGCCTCTTTGTGACTGAGAGAATACACGTTTGTTCACGATATATATATATATATATATATATATGTGTTGTCAGGCGAGGAGAGGAATATTAGTTTTGAAGAAAAAACAACAATAATAAACTATAAAACATGACAAACATAAGGGTGTGTTAGGACAAATGTGTATAAGCTGTGGAGCAATATTGAGACCTCCTATCTTCCCCACTACATGACCGACAATAACCAGACATGGGGTCATTTGAGGCCTTCTCCATTACCACCACCCTCCCCCCTCAGGAACCTTATGTTTTAAATACATGAGAGATATTTTGTCCCCTTCAGTGTAAAGGAATCAAACATGTCATTGTACCCCCATTTCCACTGATTGCAAACCTCTCAGACGTTTCAAATATTAAACCTGGAAGAAAAGGTTAGAGTTTAGGGTCCCAGTTTCCTCGTGGTCACTTTGGACGCTGTAGTTTTTGGTGCTTGTGTTTAGATTTTTCCAATATTGGGTTTACTCTGGTTGGTACTGATGGGGCAACTGAATGTAGTACCGATCACCTACTGAATGTGTCTCCTGTTGAAGGACACTCACCCACTCAATCATTGTATATGTTCTGTTTCAGGATCCAATCGACGCCATGCGACAGAAGTGTGAAGAGGCGGAGCACTGTGTTCACACTCGGGAGATTCTGGAGCAGTGCGAGACCAGAGTTGGCTCTCGGTCTTCGACGGCCGAGGATTGTACCGAGGAGCTGTTTGACTTCTTGCATGCTCGGGACCACTGTGTAAGTGTGACAGTTGCCAGTTGTACCGAGCCCATAGATTAAAAATACACCAAGGTTGATAATGATTTATGTTATCAGGATGGACATTCACAGATTTCAGGGTACACTGTGTTCTTGTATCCATTAAATGACAAAAAGTTTCACAAAACATTTACAAGTAAGGCTTCACTCCTCACAGCTGACCTTTCATACCGGTACAGCAGCAAGCACATTTTTCTCTAGTCACCATAAGGTTTTATTTGATTGAAATACAAGCTACTTCATCCATTTCTACTATCCCTTTTAATTGTCAGTATATCCTTACAGTACGGATTGGCCCAATGTGTCTTGTTCAGTGTCTGCATTAATACACCAAAATGTTATGTGTTTAGATGACAGCAAATACACTGTTAACACAAGCTTTACTTTAAGAAATGAAAAGATGTAGATCAAATGAAAGGGTCTTAATCAGTTTGTGTTTAAATCAATGCCTTGCAGAACACCAGATTCTTCCTCTTCTTCACTAAATCTACTTAAAATTCAACAGGTTGCCATTTGTGCTCCAATACTGCCATCTACTGGGCACTAAAGCGAACACACACACACACACACACACACACACACACATACACATTAAATTAATATGTCAAGTATCATATTGTATATTTATATTTATAAGTAACCAGTAACCTACAAAAGTGCAGATGTTAATAATGTCACCTTAAGTCAATATTATTTTATAAGCCCAACTCAATCTTAACCTCAATTAATACATGGTAGGTTGAGTGGGTAGTTGTTTTGTCTCTTGCAAATGATGCATGTAGGGCTTCTCCTCAGTTGGGTAGTACCCAGTTGTAAACGCCTCAAGACGTTCAAAATGGATGTGCTCAGATGCTTTATTTCGTCGTCTTAAAGCGTAAAAAAACGTCAGAGTGAGGAAGGAAGTCAGTGAACGTGACGTGTAACATACAAACTTTAATATATTCCCTTGTCGGTGAACAAGTTCTGCCTGAGTTTCGTTAGATAGATGTTTATCAGCAGTTGTGTTTGTTTAATAATGAAGATAACAAATCCCATGATCCCTAGCTACTTCATGATGTCATTAAACTACGTCTCTTGTTATTGTTTTGATGTGAGAGACCCCTCGCAGAGTTCCACTCTGCATTTAAGTGACATCAAAAGGTTTTTCTTTGCAAAACAATTTGGGGCTCTTTAGTTTACCTTCCCGTGCACTGTATGAAGGATGTGTGCATTAACAAATTTCCTCTTATATTCTCTCTAGGTGGCACACAAACTGTTCCATTCGGTCAAATGAAGTCCTCCCTGGTTGTTGCACTGCTGGCTGATGACATTCTTGAAATATTGTGTTATGAGGAGAACATTGTTTTAAATACATCCATATGTGGATCTGCTGTGTGTTGTAACTTTAAATGTATACTATACTGTATCTGCTTATGTGAAGAAAAAACAGTATTTAACAAGGTAGTCTGAGTCAACATTTCATTAAAGTGGGTGGCTTGAAAACCTTCCCTTGTGTCACAAGTTTATTGTATGATTATAAATCCAATAAAAGTTTGTAAATGATTCTTATGAAGTTAAACCTTTGATGCCTGTAGAGCAGTGGTTCCCACACAGTGACAACCAGCAATATACAACTATACAAAAGGTTATGAACGAGGGCTCGCAGTAGTTCATCTGGTAGAGCGCGTGTCCCCTGTACTGTAATGGCAATTTTTAAGANNTTGTAAAACCATACACAACTGTTGAACAGGCTGTTATATGCATATAACCTTTAGCCCTGTTTTCTAACTACAGCAGGATGTGGAGACTTCACTAAAAAGCCAAGGACATGATCATCATCACTGTCTGTCAGTTTACTGTCCTAGAACAGAATGTGTAACTGTGTTAGAGTAACACAACGGAGATAAAACCATACTGCTTCTTCCAATCAGGGCTCTTTCGGACTTTCACATATGAGAGTGTGTGACGGTTGCGTTGAGACCATTCATGGATGATACTTTGTATGCTTTATTTAACAAATAGCCACCACAGTACTCAGTCGTTACCACAGTGGCCCGAGTCCAACCTGTGGTCCTTTGTACATGTTATTCCCTCTCCCCAGTTTCTTGTCTTATTTTCAAGCTGTCACTATCCAGAAGGCAGAAAAAGCCCATGGATGCACATTATTATTGTTATGAGTTATATAAGTTATGAATGATTTTTTAACTTACTATTTCAGTACTTTGTTGTTCCATTACCTCAATTTTAATTTTGGGACGTGTGAGATTTTATGTTATTAAATATTTCACAAGTGATAGTTTTTAATAATAATAATGATAATTTTATTTGGCATTAGCAAGTAAAAATACATGTTTACAGAGTGATAGCAGGTGTTGTAGAGGGTGTTTTTTTTTGCACATATGAATACAGGTGTGCCTTGAGATTTGGCTTTTGAGAATCACTGCTGTAGAGAGTTCAATTATAACATTTTGTGGGGGTAAATCTTTTTTTTTGTAGATGTAATGCAAGTGATTATTGAAACAAGAAGGGAGGCTTTTTAAGGAAAGTGCTCAAGTCCTGCCTGAGGGTTTGTCACAGAAATTACAGCCTTCCTCTGGAGAAGGCTTCACTAATAAACACAGGAGGAAAACAAAGGACACAGTTGATCCAAGTGTTGCTATCTGTTGGCAAAAAACTGCCTACTTATGGATCTGGTTAGATAGACTTCGTAGCCTGACCTTCTCATGAAACTTTACTGTGAGCTGATGATGAAATGAATCAGCAGTCCTTTAATTTGGTCTGTAAAACTACTCACACCAAATCCTCCATAGACTGGTCTCTCACCACTGGATTGTGGACTTAAATAAATAACGTGTATATTTTTACAAGATAAATTACTTTTTTTATTTGGTAGCTCTGGCGCCCTCTACCTGGCACATGTGTATTGCTCTCATTGCTCTGCTACAGTGAGCTATTCCGTTGTCAGGCGGTGTGACTGTGAGCGAACAGGCTCCAAGTGTTGCTCGAGTTGAACCAGCTCCACCATGAATATGTAACCAAACAAAGGCGACTGGCTCTTTACTTAAAACCTCTGACAGACTCACCAACTAGTCCCACTCGTTTCCCGACAACAGTCTGTTGTTAGCCTGAGCTAGCCGACGTTTATCCTTGCGCTGAAGAGAAACTGGGGGGGGAACCATGGACAGTGTGAAACAGTTTCTTCAGGGAGTGGAGCTTGACAACCGGACCGCGGCGCTGCTGACGGGTGCAGCCTGCGGTGTGGGAGCTCTGGTGGTGCTGGTGCGGAAGGTCAGCAGCCACCAAGAGGCGAAGGACAAGATCCGGAGAGCCAGGACCCGGAGGACCGAGAGCCTGCAGCGGGCTGAGCAGGCTGTCCTCCAGTACAAGGAGTCGGTGAGAAGCATGGAGGGAAAGTTAGAACGCACTTCCTTGGTTTGGTTTGTAATTCAGGCAAATGTATGCGAGGTTTGTAAGTTAGAGGAATGAATTGCTACCATTGTTTGGTGCCAACACGCTTCTATCAGTCGTTTTCACACATTTTGACCTGTAATAGCAGAAAGGGCACCGATCAATGCTGCTTTGAATACAAATAGGTGATGCAGCTAGATCAATACTGTGCAATACAGATTAGATTAGATTAGATTGGAGATTCCGCACTGGAAACTTGTCTTTGGCGTCTTCCAAAGTACAGCACAGGTACAGACAATGCACACAACACAGCACACCATTAACAATACAAATATACACAGTATACACAATGCAAATGAGCAAGTAGCAGTATGTGGTAACCGGTTCCTCTGCTGTATCCCTGCAGTTACAAGATTACAGTTCAAAAGCTGTTGTGCAACATTAATTACTGAACTATGTAGCATGTGTATGAGGTGAGATACATTAGAATTATTGATAAGATAGCATGGTCCAATAGGTTATATTAATATAAACAGTTTCAGCAAATCAGTATCTTTATTTTTAATTTTCATTATTAACTACCTGATGGAAAATCATTCTCCATCTGTCTTTGGGTGCAAATTTGGGGTGATGTGTGTATATTTCGTGACGCTCTGAACCATCCAGACATTTTCTGATGTTACACCCACTACTAGTCACTAGCATAAGGAATGACAAGCAAGGAGCTAAAGATTAAAGAGATTTTATTGCAGCCATGGTAGAATCTTGCAAATACCATTATGAGCACTAGGAAGAGTCAGAGAAAATGTCTAATATACTACTGTCAGGAGGAACAGTTTAAACAAATATGAAAAAAAAAGTAATTTTTATAAACTGCAGCATTAATGTCACACCTTAAGACTGCCCTGACTGCCTGACTGTGGATGACCTGAGTAAAGTGAATCATTAAGCTGGAGAAGCAAATACACAAAACAAACAATGAAAAAGAAAAATACTAGAAAAGAAAAGATAAGTAGTATGCCTCATATTCTTTTGCCTACTAGCAGCTCACTGTTCATGGCAGACTAAACAGAAGAATAAACCAACCAAAATAGTCCCACAGCAGAGCAGCTAATGGACCATTGATGCTCTGCAGGGAAACAACAATCTGAAAACCACTTTATTAAACAAACATTAAAATACATACTGATGATGTGTTGAAAAACAACTTCAGTGTACCTTGTACATTGATCTACTGACCACCAGCTGCCTTTAACACATATATATTTAGAGATATAGGAAAAACTATTATACATCTGTTGCTACTTTAGCCCTTAGAAAAGAGATTGCTATGCCATAATGTGTGTGTGTGTGTGTGTGTCTTCTAGCATCCAATGACCGACTCTGCTCACATTGTGACACTGTCCTTGTCTGAGTTGACAAAGCAACTGAAGGAAGGCTTGCTGAGCCCGGAGGATGTGTTCTACTCTTACATGGAAAAGGTTCAGTACCCAAGATAACACAGCTCACATATTACACACACACACACACACACATGGACACATAGAACCACATTATACAAATAGATGATCAATTTGAACAGTCACTGACCTATCTCTCTTCTTTCAAAGATCTCAGTGTTCCAATGTAAAGTTATAATCATCAAGTTATTCATTGCAAGAAATGATCTGCATGTACCCTAGAATAGTACAAAACACAATAATTTGTTTGAGGCGTTTCATGCACTGTCACTAAATAAATATTTAACTAGTACTAGTTAGTAGTTTCCTTGTGCATTTTATACCAAATGGTTTTTACTTTTTCCACAGACTCTGGATGTAAACAAACAGCTGAACTGCTGCACTGGGATCTTGTTGGAGAGTTTTGACCAGTTGAAAACTGTTGGCTCCAAAAAGGAAGGTCTCTTGTACGGAGTTCCAGTCAGCATTAAAGAAAACATTGCATACAAGGTATTTTGTATTAACTGCATCCTTACAGAATGGCAGTTACACTGACAAAGTTTCCAGATTTAAGTAAGCACTTATAATACTATTATGGCATTCTTAATATAGCTCAGACTTATGTCTTTGATGTGCTCTTGTCTAACACTGCTCTCTTTGCCTGTTTTCATTCTATAACTCAAGAATCACGACTCTTCTTGTGGTGTGATCATTAATTTGGACCAGCCTCTCGAGAAGGACAGCGTGCTTGTTGAAGTTCTGAAGAGACAGGGAGCTATTCCCTTTGTGAAAACCAACCTGCCCCAAGGCCTTTTGAAGTAACTAATTTCTCAGTAAAATTATCAGGAAGTTAAGCTGTGGCACTGTTGTCACACACCATACAATAACAGTGCACTCATGCAATTATATTTGTCCAGCACAAAGGTAATATGTGATTTTTATACATGCAAAGACCGTTAGGCTCGTTGCTTATCTGCGTTTTCTTCTATTGCCTCATCTCTAGTTATGACTGTTCTAACCCCATCTATGGGCAGACCGTGAACCCCCACAACCTCCAGAAGACCTGCGGAGGTTCTTCCGGTGGCGAGGGGTCTCTCATCGGGGGAGGGGGCTCCGTGCTTGGTTTAGGCAGCGATATAGGGGGTAGTATCCGTATTCCTGCCTCATTTTGTGGCATCGCTGGCTTTAAGCCAACAGCAGGCCGGCTAAGGTGAGTGTCTCCGTGTCAGTCAGTTTTATGGATAGTCATTGTACACTCATGACACTTCCCATCACACCACACTTCTTCGCTTCTTTGTTTTGTTTTGATTTCTTTGTGTTTTTGTCAGTTCACAGGGTATACGCCCCATTTATCGAGGGCAAAAATCTGGTAAGTTATAGTTAAGCAGTGTCATCGTTGCCAACATACAGCTCTACGTGTGTCGTCTAAAAAAAATCTCAGAACTTTTTGTTATGTTTCTTTTTAAATTAGTGCTGTCATCATCCGGACCCATGGCGAGGGATGTGGACAGTCTGGCTCTGTGTATGCAGGCTCTGCTCTGCGACCACATGTTTTCCTTGGACCCCACTGTTCCACCCTTACCTTTTAATACGCAGGTGTGTCCAGAAACCAAAATATAAAACTGATATTAGTGAATATAGTATGCTAGTGTGCTCATTTTTGAGGGATAGCAAACCAAAGATTGGGCAGATATCAATGCGATTTGACGTGTGTTTGGTTTACAGTACAAGTGTGTATGCATTACTTTCATATTTAACAAGTCTTTGTGTCATTTCTAATAATTATTTTATGACCTTGCCTGCAGGTGAGCGTTCATGATACCTTGATAAATTACGGTTAATTGGGCAGCCGGATCAGTGACCCACACAGCCAGACATTGCTTATCCAGAGATCTATATATTTTTGATAACATGATGCCAGTTTGATGAATATTGTGCTTCAAACATTGCGGCAACAATTTGGGGAATACCCTTTCCTGTTTCAACATCACTGTGCACAAAGCCTGGTCAATAAAGAAATCAAGTTTGGTGTGAAGTAATTTTACAGGCCTCAGTAAACTTTTGAACTCAACCTCAGTATACAAACACTAAAGATAAACTGTAACCTATCATGCAGCTTCAGTAAAAAACCTCATTGATACTTTTGTGGCTGAATAAGAACAAATTCCTGAAGACAAATTCCTGTGGAAAGCCTTAGCCTCTCGTGCTAAGCTAAGTCTAACACAGATCTCAGCACACATCTCTTTATGGATGCACAGTGATGACACTGAAATCATAAATCTGGAACAACTCCTCAACCAGTTTTCAGAGAACATGATAAAAACTCCTTTGAGGTGCCTGTTGTTTGCACCATAAATCTCTCTGGGAGAATGTGGTGGTAATGAGTTGAGTTCACCTATATACAGTAAAATGCATAGGGGAAACATAAAGGCACATTATTATGAATGTTTGTATTGATTTATCAGAATTAGCTTCATTGGCTAAGAATGTGTACACACATTTTTTTGTCATCATGACTGAGGAAATCTGAGGTCTGGCTCTCTGATTTGAAGTAAATAAAGTAAACAAAATGAAAGCCTTAATATATAAAAAGACTCAATCTTCTAGTTGTGTACTAAAAGTGAATCTGTTTATATGCGTTTCCTCTCAAATGTCTCCCTACAAACCTGACAATTAAAATGTCTTGTCCCCAGATATACCAGAGCTCCAGACCTCTGAGGATCGGTTACTTGGAAAACGATGGCTACGTGCAGCCGTCTCCAAGCATGGCCCGAGGGATCAGAGAGGTCAAAGCCCTCTTAGAGCAAGCAGGGCACACTGTAAGACCACACCACTCACAGGCACAGTCTACGGCCACATAAAATATGTGATATGAGCTAAATGTTTTTAATGCAGTCTCTTTTTTATGTCTTTTGTGCCGGTAGTTGGTGCCCTACAGTCCTCTGAACATCAGTCACGCTGTCAGTGAACTGATGATAAAGGGAGTCTTAGCAGACGGAGCTACCACCCTGCTTCAAAAACTGTGAGTTTCCTTTTAAGTTATTTAATCTGTGCAGTCATTGTTATTAGCCTCATTAGTTAGATAATTGCATGTAACTGACGTGTTGGAGAATTGAAGTGTCTGATTTTTAGAACTAAACTTTTTAAAACAACACATTTCAAATGTTATTAGTACAGCAGTTATCTTTGTCTTACTTGTCATTACTCCCATAGTCCCAGAAAGAGAGAGGCGTATAAAGAGAACGCCAACACAGAATCAAGTCAGGATTGACAGTATGCTCTGAGGGAATTAAAATGACTGCTGTCTTATGACACCCATATAACAGATACCAAGTACAGATACAAACCCAGTATAAAACCACTGAACAAATACATCACAATAATAAGATTATGAAGGAATTATACATATGGTAGTACTAGTAGACCACAACCAAGAGGAAGGAGACTGAAGAGAAGGGGGAAATAATTTAAACATTTCACATTTCCTTTTTTCTATAAAATATCTATATTCACGTGTATCCACAATTTGGACCAATACTTATGGAATGTATTGACACAAAGCCTTAGAGAAAGACCATTTTCTTCATCTCATACATTTCTCTCCATTGGTTGGTGGGTCCTTATCTAACCATTTCTTAGTTATTGCTGTCTTGCTGTGAGTGTTAAATTCAGTTGGAATATTTCCTAGATATGGTGCAGAGGCTATAGTTCATCTCAAAACTCATTATTGACTTTTATTCTGTTACTATCTCTACTCTAGCAGACAGGATTGGATTACTGGCAGTCCCAAAATATGTGAAAGTGATCAGCCATTGAGAGCCTATTTTGTGGGCGTCAGTAAGATACTGAAAGCTTTCCAAGCCTGTATTGGTTGAAATTAAGCAATACGAGAAAATTAGTGAAAGTTGTTATCTGATATACGTCTTACAGTTAGTTGTTGCAATAAACAAACATGCAGTAAACAAACATAAATATCCGTGTTATATGATTAGTTTTCCTCACAGAGCCCTTATTGTTCTGTTTTAGGGTGGGGGGCCCTTTGGACCCCTGTCTCAGATCACAGGTTCTCCCTTACTATTTTCCCAAGTGGTTGAAGAAAGCCCTCTCCTTCCTCCTCAAGTCCCTGGTGAGTTGCCTCCTTCTGTGACAGACATGGATAAATACAGACTAAAGACACATTTCTTCCTCAGCGATTTGCCTTGAAGAAACAGGCACTGTGTGATTTAATACTTAAAGTTTGTTTTATGTTGTGCTTGTGTTTTGCAGTCCCCTCGTGCTTCTGCGGTCTTCAATTCTATCTGTGGAGTTGGGTGAGAAAGTAATTTTAACACTGACAGGTTGTGCTTGAAATTTTGTGACTCACACATTGCAATCGACAAAATGTAGAAACATACTGTACTTATTTGTTCTGTCCTTTGTTTTTAGATCTATTCCAAATCTGTGGAAACAGCATGCTGCTGTTGAGGTACTGTTAGCTCCCAGATAATGATGCTTGTGTATGTATGAATGCATACAGGTGAAACTAAAATCTCTTGTGTTTTCATTTAGGACTACATTTCTGAAACGATAGCACACTGGAGAAGATGCGACATAGACGTGCTGCTGTGCCCTGTTATCGGACCCGCCTACAACTTCTTATACTGCGGCAAAAATACCCGTACGGTACCCTGAACAGTTACAGTGTTTGTGATATCTGAAAGGGCATTGTGAATGATTAGAGATATAATAATGTCCATTTTTATTACAGTACTGTACGTTATTGTACTCACTAATATTTACTATAAAACCCAGTGTACCACAGTAAAACAACCTGTTTTCTGTCCTTCCAGATGTTCTCACTTACACAATGCTCTACAATCTCCTCAACTTTCCCGCCGGGGTTGTTCCTGTTTCCACGGTGACGGCAGAGGATGAGGAGGAACTCAAGCACTATAAGGGTGTTTATCAGGACCTGATGGACAAGTCCTTCAAACAGGTAAGAACCATGTGAGAGCTGACAGATACCAAATGATATAATACAGTTACTTTGTGAAGATTCAAATTTTTTCAAAGAGACAATTTGTTCTTTATATTGACTTTGTATTTCTTTTAAGCAGATCTGCAACGAACAATTATTTCTATTATTAATTAATCAGCTTTCAATCTACTTTTTTTAGGCCAAATATCAGACGATAGTAAACAAAATGCCAATCACAATTTCTTCTTAGTCTAAGCTGGCATCTTTAGATTGCTGGTTTAGTCTTGCTCAAACAACACCCCAAAACCTTTTCTGTGTATTATTACAACATATATCGATAAAAGCTTCAAACCCAAACATACAAGAAGTTGGAACTAGTTTGTATGACTAACAATTCATCAATTATCAATTGTTTCAGTTTAACTTCGTGTACATGTGCATGCAGAAGAGGGTTTAGAGGAGGAACCCTTTCAGTAATCCATCCATGATACTACCCATTACTCTGTCCCTAAACCAAAAGTAGTTCCACAGTTGGTCAGTAGGTGGAGGCAGAAGACTGTGGTGTTTCTGGTTGCAGACTGTTGACCGACTGGGTGCTGTGTTTGTGTTCAGGCTGTGTCTGGTGGCGAGGGACTGCCCGTAGCGGTGCAGTGTGTCGCCCTGCCGTGGCAGGATGAGCTCTGCTTGCGCTTCATGAAGGAGGTGGAACAACTAATCAAACAGAGCAGAAAGTGAGGCCTGGAGACCACAGGTGGGGCTACCTGCAGGGACTTCAAATTAATTGTGACTTAAATACATCCTGTGAGAAATGAGAAATACAAATAATAAGCTAGTCTCAGAAATCATTCAAATCATTCAAACACAAAACTTGTAAAACACATAAAAAAAATTAAATATGACTAAAAGGTAACACAATTAACATTCCTTTAGAAAAGGTACATTAGTTGATTGTTTGAAAATGGAAATAATATAGTAATATCCTTTCAACAAATTCAGTTTTTAGTTTTACTCTTCTGCTCTGTACTCAGGTATCTTTTGCTCTTTGGCTTTTTTTTGGCCATAATAAAGATTTAATGAATGTTGACTATAAAACTGTTAAAAGATATATTCATGTTTACTCGTCGAAAAGGTTCAGACCTTTTTTGTACGTCCGTCACCAACAAACCTCAATATTTTAACATTTTATTTGTACTGTACTATTACATTTAAAATTTAAAATGTTGCTTTAAAATCTTGTCTAATTGATATTGACATGTTTTCTGTTGGGTTTTTTTCTTTTTGCGAAATTCAGCATCCTGTTGTAGGTGTGAAATGAGCAAAGTTTTTGTTCGGCCTTGCCTGGTATTCTTTAATATTTCACGCAATATAGCATGAAGAGGGACACATGCTTTGGAAGAAATTGAATTCGTGTCACCATTAAGCAAAGAGGTACTGCGAGTTACATTGTGAAAATGTTGAAAATTAATATTTAAAATGAATATGGAAACTAATGTTGTTTCTCTCTTTACAAGCACTGACATCTTTCTGTGATATAGGAACTAAGAATGAAATAAAGTAACTGATTTCTAATAGAGGAGCTACTGCTGTTTTGTGTTTCTACGATAGAGATGTTGAAATTGGTTTCCAGATGTTGGAGATGGCACAAGTCATCAGAAACGTGATCCTCTGATACATTTTGTGACTTGCCATTATTGATTTGATATCTACAGCTTTTAAAACCTGTACAGTAAACCCGTTTTGATGGGGAATATTTAATGAACTGAGTTTATAAAGTATGGTGCACCTTCAAGGCATCCAGCAGAGGTGAAGGCACAAAAACCCCTCTTTTTACCTTCTTCTTCATCCTCCACCTCTCCCTCTCCATCACTGTGCCACAGATGAGCGCAGATCATTTTCATTATTATTGTGAGTGATTGTTGCACCGATGCCATAACAGGAAACAGAAAAGAGATAAAGGAGACTAATGACACATGGCGCCTCCATCTACAAGGCCAGCGCACCATGTCGTCATATTGTGATTACCCTGTGCTATTGTAAATATGTGTTTCTGTTGGGTTTACATAAATTTACATATGTTTTAAAACTCTCCTGGGATGGGAAACCATTAGGGACAATGTCAGTGTTTTCCATTACAATCACCCACGTTTGCACTGTTGTCTCATTGAATGGAAATGGCCGTGTACGTGCGGAAGAGGAAGGAGGGCACATTAGGCAAGGAGGAGAGCTGGAATTGAGAGGTTGTTCTTAGCATTATCTGTGGCACATAGAGAGAGAGTGTGTGGCTCTCGCTGTGCCACTCAGTCAGGGAGCATTGAGCTTTAAGAGGCAGTGAAGAGACTCAGGTCTTCAGAGGGAACTTGACATTGTTCATAAATCCCTCAGGATCTGAGACAGAAGCAATGACAAATAGACACACACACATGCACAAAGTCAGCCTTCAAATTGGCCCATTAAATACATTTACCAGTTCTAATTTGGCAGTCATGTGTATTATATTATACATAATAAAATCAATTTAAATGTTATTTATATACTGTAGTACTTAAAAACATCACGGATGATAAAAGCATGAGTGATATAGTTCAAAAGAATATTTCATATCTGCTGCCAATTGTAGCAGAATACATTTAAAAAATGTATAGTCAAAAGAAAAATTGTTACTATCTAACTCTGTTAAATCCTAATCTTATTTTGTTGAAACAATACACAGTATTAGCCTAAAACACATATATGTCGCTTTTGTAAACTTGATGAGATGTAATCTGTCAGACTGTAACATAAATGTGAGACTCTTAATTTTTGCTGTTATGGCCAACTACCCGGCAGTTAAGGGACAGTTAGATGAGAATAAATTTTGGCTAACACAAAGCATTTACATTTAATAAATATGAATTAATCTATACTCTTACTGATAAATGGAAAAATAACTTCACATAATAATATAATAATAATGTGAAGTCTAAGATAACATGATATTTGTCATCACTATATAAACATTTTCTGGATGTGGAGGTGTTTCAATGTGTTATATAAAGGCCTTTTTCACAGCAGACATTACACACAGGTTTAAGAAATAAAAATTAAAGATGGCTGAATTCCATTTAGCTGCTTCTGTTTCAGGGTGCTGGTATTTTGTGTGCTGGCTCACTGTCACACTGTCATGGCCTGGGACACTTGAATAGAACCGAGCCATTCTTGATGTTTTTAGTAACACCTGTTCTTTTTCTGTTATGACACATCTAAATATAAAATAGTCCTATTAAACAAACATCAGGAAGAAGACATATGTACATATTAATGAGGGACTCAATCATATTATTTGTATTAGTGTTCTGTCTCTATTGTGAGTGTGTGAATGATCAAAAATAATATAATATTTGGAACTTATCCAGGAGGTATTAGTGTTACAAACACATCGAACTAACTGTTGCTGTCACAGCTATCAGGACAAGTTGCAACATTTTAACTGTAGATCCCACTTATAATCAACACCCAGTTATACACCCTTTTGCAACTTTTATCTATACAGGATAAAACTGTGTCAGGCTGCATTATTTAAGAATACTGTTTTTTACCATTGGTTGTATGTGATATAAAACCTTATCAGTATTATCAGTAAGTGGAAGAAAACATTTTAAATGTCATAACATAGTCCCAATGTTATGAATAATATTGATCCGGGTTTTAACATCAGAAAGTGCGACAATATAATGAAAGAGTTTGAGAAGTTAGATGTAGAGGGCATCTAGCCAAAGCTGAGCCTGGTGGAATCATACAGAAGAGCTATTCACCAGCCCTGGCAGGGCAAGGTGCTCTTCTCATGTAACGTCTCATTGATAAGAGCAGCAAACACCTCATTTACAGGAACCTTAGACTATAAGATCAGGTACTTTAAAAGCCATCCAAACACATTCAGACCCTGCCTGTGTGCCAACAAATAAAACACCTTGATATCGCCCCAACTAAACTAGGATGATTCTGTCTTAATGTCCCATTTCAGGGACCAAGGAGCCCATAGTCTTTATGGCTCCACAGAATTGCAGGTAGTAATGTTTGACACAGCAGGGATCCTGCCTTTCAGATGATCAAAGTGACAAGTTCAGCCTGCAACCAGAGCCACTTAAAGGAGACATCTAGAAGCAGCAAGATTGGCAGCTTTTAGGTCTTTGGTCCATTTCATCAGCCATTACTACCAGCAGAGGCGACGTGCTGTGGAGGACTAGTGGGAGGAGGGGAAGGCAGATTAACAGACAGCTGATACAGGTGTATAGGCGGTATCAAACAGCAGCTCTGTCAATACAGCAGGCTCCAAATTTCTTCAGAAGGGGCTGGGATCCCCAAAGTATGCTCACCGATTTCACTATGACAGGATTAACTGGGAGCTCCGTATGATTTTCTCAGATTCTGTGACTCAACAATTCAGTGATCCACGTTCTATCGGCTTTAAAGGCCCCTATCCCAAGTTTCAAAAGCTTACCCTTCGGACAAGGGACACTCTTTCTCCCATACGGTTCCGCTTTCCCTTTTTTGCTGCATTCAGTTGTTCATCAACCCCCGCGTCCTCGCCAGCTCTCCCATCCTCCCTTCTCTGCACATCTGCTAGGCTTGAGTTTTCCTTTCTTCCCTCCAGCGCCTTGCTTGGCCCAAGGCCCTTATAGCCAAATTGGTTTACATTGGAGAGATAAATGCTCTGCAAATGCGCTTAAACACGTACAGTAAAAAATGCAGACAGTGCGTGTCAGGATTATCACCCAAGTCAGGGGGAGAAAGGAGAGCGTCTGTGTAGCACAAAGCTGGGGAGCCAGAGTGAAGCCTGCAGATATAGTCCGTCTCATCCACTTCTCAGGAGAAAGAGAGGAGGATTTAGCATTTGCATGCTAGTCTGTAATTCCTGGCATTATATAACTTGTCGCCAACAATCAAACTCCTGTGGTATTGTGAAAGTATTGTTTCACATGGGTGAGCAAAGTGTGGAGTTACACTCTTGGGGGAAGGGGTTTAGGTGGCAGCATGGAGACAGCTGGTCCAAGATGCATGGCAGAGACCACCCTATAAGCCCAGTCGGGAACTGTTCTGCAACACAACCTCAGGCCCAACTACATGTGGACCTCACAATCCTCTCAGCTTTAATGATCACCTGAACATGGTGAGTGATATGTAGAAAGAGGCTGATCCATGATATTTCTTCATGGAAAGAAAGTAGAGGAATACAAATTTAAATGTAATCCCAAGGATCAGGTCTGACCATACAGATCGTGATTAAAGATGTGTATTAATTAATTATTAATGTTCAAAAAAGCACATGTGAAATAATGTGAAATATGATATTTCATATGTAAAATGTCTGAAAAGCTGTATGTGCTTATCTGTAAATTCATCACATTTGACTTCTGTTACATGAAGTAATGTAAATTTATCACCTGAAATGTGTTTCTCGTGTGAAATTGAGGTTTGTATACATGATGTCTTGCATTTCAAAATAAAAATATCTGAAAATTACATGTAATAAATTACCCCCTTAGGTAAAGGAATGAATGAAAAATAGCTTGCACTTAAATGTGATACAAAGCATATATGTTTTATATACATGCATATGCAATATTATATATATTTTAACCATCAACAAATCCCTTAAAATTACCAATCAAAGCGTGTGTGTGTGTGTCTGTATATGTTTATATATATATAAATGTTTATTTTAATAAAATTTAATGGTTCACTGATGTGTTTTGTTTTAATAATTTTTATATTGGTTTTGTAGCTCTATAAAACAGGAATAAGTTATAATAGGCTTATATAATATAATAAGACAATACTTGTTGATCAACTTATTATTTTAATCTTTCAGTAAAATAAAATCAACTAATCATAAGAGGGAGTCACTGTTATATCCTCAAATGAGCCTGCAAGCATATATCACACTCCTACATATCTACGTAAGCAGATGTAGCGTCGCTATGTGCAAGAAATCTCACTTGGTGAAGACAGGGAGGGCTTACAGTACACAGACTAACTGGATCCTGAAAATTCAGGAAATGGCACTCTCCCTTCTCTCCCCACCTGCTGCTGCTTCTGCTGCTGTCGTCCCCTGGGGGACACCAAGCTGGTGTCCCTGTCCACCAGCATCAGTGTAAAACCCCTCCACATGCTCTGCAATGGGGATTTGGGTGTTAAAACTTCCAAGAAAGACCACAGCCCCCCACCCCCCAAAAAAGAGCCCCTTTTTCTCATCCCCACGACCTACCCCTCCCTCCAAATCAACGCCGTCCCCCTCAGACCTCCCAACACAAAGCCCTCAGAGCAAACCCAGCACAGAAATCATAGCACACCATTCAATCATTGTTTTTTCCCCTCTCTCACCCCTTTTATGGTCCCACTAAAGGTTTTAGCCGGGCAGAGAAGGAGGGCTGTCACTGAGGAAACCTTAGCCCATTGATGAAGTGACAGGAGCTGCCAGAATATGATCCTAATCCTGTTTCCAGCATTCTTTTAGCCC